ATTGGGATTGGTCCTGCCTTGGGCAGGGGGCTGGACTTGATGAGCTTCTGAGGTCTCTTCCAGCTCTATGGTTCTATGATTCTATGCACCGTCCCCAAAAGTGCCCCAAAGCTCGGCCCATTTCAAACCTTCCTGGCCCTCCATGCCTGTCCCATATGCTGGTTCCCACTAAATCTGGGTGAAACTTCATAGTGGCCCCTCCCTATCCGGGGGGAATGGTGTGACTTGCTGCTGCTCTCATCCCATCCAGCTGCAAGGGAACTGTGGGTCTGTTACATGTGGGCAATAAGATGGCGGCAGTTCATCAGGGTTATCCTATGGTGGCTGCTGCCGCTTTATTTACCTGTGGGTCTGCAGGTACCAGTGCTTGCAGCTCCCATTGGCTGCAGATCACTGTTCCCAGCCAATGGGAGCTGCGGGAAGCAGCGTGGAAGAGGACACCACTTCCCACCGCTTCCATTGGCCGGGAACGGTGACCCGCGGCCAATGGGAGCTGGAGGTGCCTGTACCTATGGAGGCGCAGGTAAATACAGCAGTGGCAACCTGCTGGGTTGAACCCTGGCTAGCAGCGCCCAGGCCTGTTATTGCCCACTGCTGAGCTTCCAGTGGGTCATGAGCAGGGCTCGACAATTAATGTAATCTACTTGCCCGTGGCGAGTAGATTACAAGCCGGCACAGCCGCACAGCGCGGTCTGCGCATGCGCAGCATGCCGAACCGCGTGGCTGGCGAGCCCTGGTCACGAGGAAGCGTTTGCCCTCTGGTGCAAGAAGAGTGTCTGTCTCCAGGTGACGCTCCCCTGATGCTCCTTTTTGGTTGCATTTAATAATAATATTTTACCATGCTGAGCACCTTCCAGACAAGGACCCTGACGCATTTTAGAGGCATTAATAAAAAAATCTTCATAGCCCCCTTTATGGTGTAGATTTTATTAGCCTAATTGTACCGAGGGGGAGACTAAAGCACAAAGCAGTGATGCAGCATGCTCAAGGACTCAGTGAGTCAGTGGCATACCCTAAAATAGAATCCAGGAGTCTGAGAGCCTGGTCCCCTCTTCTAGCTACTACACTGCATTTTCTCCTCAGAAGGATGGTCTAGCGATCAGCAAAGAGTTCTCCTTCCTGGATTTACAGGTTCGGAGCCTCCATGGAAACCCCATGGGCTGGTGTCCAGAGATCTTGGCATTGCCGCTCAAACCAGCTCTCTGCATTTTTTCCTCTGAGTTGCCGAGGAAGAAAGGTGAATTCACTGACTGAGCCTGGTTCTCTGTTCTCCCTCCTTTCCACAGGTTTCTGGTACAGCCCGGAGTGCGACTACACCCGCCACTGCATCAGCAAATCCCAGGAGCTGGTGGAAGGGAAGGTGCGTCTGTCTGCTTTGAAGGGCCAGGTCTATATCCTGGGCAGAGAGTCCCCACGGTCCCTGTACAACGAGGAGCTTGTGAGGTATGTGACCAGCTGGGCAGCTGCTCCCTCAGTGCACACACAAGGAACTGGGGCTCTGGGCTACACAGTTCTGCCAAGGTCTGGGATTCTCTAGTCTTGCCAAGCTATCAGAGGCAGGCCTGGGTGCGAGAGGAGGTGGGTCCTAGCTGCAGACTCGAGACCCAGGTTCTGAGCTCCCCAGTGTTGAAGGCTAGTTGGGTCCCGGGCCTGTCTCTGAGGTAACAGTGACCTGTGGGGGAATGGGAAAAGGCGCAGGGTGGGTGCTTTGGCATCGGGGCTCCTCTCTTCTGGCCCTGCTCTAGCTGATGTCCAGTGCTGCTGTTTGGATGGGGGAGGGTGACAGTTTGTTCCTTGAGTCTGCCAGGGCAGTCTTGGTGCCTCTGGGCACTGGGTAGCCAAAGCAGGCTCCTCCTATTGCCTCTGTTACCCCAGGCTGTACTGGGCCTGAGGCCTTGGCCATTGAGGTGCCCTTTGCAGGCTGCTGCCTGGATCTGCACTGTGGCTCCACGTGCTGCCCGGGCGGCTGTTACCTCAGCAACGACAGAGCCAGTGTGTTCCCGCAGATGCAGTTCTGAACCGGCTTCGATGGATCACAGGGAGCAGGGGTTGTTGTTACTTCCCATCTCTGAGGAGCCATGAGGGGGAGCAGGGCAGTGTTGAAGCCTGGCTGTGAGGGGGCACACAGGGTTAGGATGGGGTATCGTTGGCAGCTGGATACTGTGGCAGTGCGCATGTTAGAAACCAGTGGCAGATGGGGAGCACTGAGGAAGACGCCTTCTTCAGCCTCTGCAACTTTGGTAACAGACCTGCCTGGGCCAGGCCATTGCATTACAACTCCCTTTAGTTAGCCCCATGGAGCACAGAAGCCAGGAGTGAAGCTGCAGGGGCATAGGCATTTGTGTCTCCTGTCCCCAGCCCCAGCAGTGCCCTGAGAGCTCGGCTGGGGAGCTCTCGCCCAATTCCCATCACCCCAGGGCTGCCTTGAGGCCAGCTGGGGATCCAGGCTGCGTGGCAGAGGAAGGGGGGCCGGGAGGGGGGATTTAAAACAAGGAGTTTGGTCCCAATGCCCCCCCCACGCCAGATGCCATCCAAGTTGGTGCGAACACATGCAGCTGCCAGGGGCTCAGCTTTAACTCCCCAGCAATCGTTTCCTCCACATCGAGCATAGCATTAAAGCACGAGTTTTGTTTTGAAGTCGATATTTTTTTTTTACACTTTTCCTTTTCTTTATGTTGTCGTCTCTCTCCCTCCTCCCCCCCCTCCCCCAGCTCCTTTCAATCTCTCTAAACACTTTATAAGCCATAAATACACCCGCATTAGTTTAGAACAGTCGGAGTAAATGTCAAATTATCTTCTCTCTTTCTCTTCTCTGGCATTTTTCCTTCCCTCCCCCTTGAAATCAACAGCTCCTAATAATCCATCCCAACCCTTCATTATGCCTCGCGTTCTCACTCGTAGAGATTAAATGAATAAAGTATTAAAAAAAAAAAAGAGGGAAGAAAAAATAGCGGATGGAGGGGGGTGGGACTGAGAGAAAGAGAGAGGGAGAGAAAAGCAGGGGCACTTATTCTCACTGCGTCGTCAAGCGTTTTCCTTTTCTTTTTGATTTCTACATCGCTGGTTTGAAAGCTTTTGAGTGACGGCGTCACAGGAACCCGAGAGAAAGCTGTGAGAGGTAGAACCGCGTGGAAATGCCTCTGCACAGTAGGTAGAAAGTAACGTAATTATAGAGCAGGTCAGAACCACTCGAATGAGCAAAAATAAAAGCACAGAGGTTTTTCTGTAGCCCGTCAGGGGAGGTAAAATCATTGTAAACTCTTTTTTTTTTTTTTAAAGGTTTGCAGTTTCTGAGAAACGAGCCGTGATTTTTGGGATGGCAGGAAACAGGAAGCTAGCTGGGTTTGTTTTCTTGGCTGTGGCAATTGGAGGTGGTTGGGGGATTTTAAAATTTCATATTGTGGCACAAAAGGGCAAAGATTTAAAAAAGGACCAGGTCCCAAGCTGGGGTAAATCAGCTGCAGCCCCGCTGGGCCGATGGGCTGGGTCCCCAGCTGGGTTACGTGAGCACGGTTTCATTGCCTTTGGTAGGAGCTGCATCTCTTTGCACTAAGGGAGCGTGTGGCTGTGTGAGTCTGCCGGTCCCGGTTGAACCGGTTACTTGGAAAGCATTCATTTTACCGGCATGTTGACTGGGGTAACCAGTTAACCAGCACACGACCTGGCCAGAGCAGCCCATAGTGGTGCAGGCTCAGCTCAGCCCAGCCCAGCTGCAGCAGCCCCTCACCTGTGGTGCAGTGCAGTGGGCTCAGCCCAGCTGGAGTGTGGCAGGGGTGGCCGGAGCAGCCTATGGTGAGGTGGGCCTGAGCAGCCCCCCGCCGCAGCATCCCGGTTAACTTTTTAAATGGGATTTACATCCCTAGCCTCTTGGCCAGCTCTTGTGAGGAAATCAGGAGACGTTCCCAGGCCCGCTGCGGGGGTGGGGCAGCTGCCCTGGGGCCCAGCGATTGGAAAGAGCCACCACCACTACTGTGGCACCCAGAGCTCCAGGCCCTTTAAACAGCTGCTGGAGAGCTGCATGGTGCCCTCCAGTGGCTCTGAGCACTGGGGGATAAGCTGCGCTCCAGGGGGCTCTGAGGCCTGGGCGGGGGAGGCTGAAATGGCACACTCACTGCCCTGCCTCTTCTGCCCAAGGGCCCACCTCTTGCCAACCTTGCCCAGAGGCCTGGCATGGCTGTCAGCTCCCCTGGGCATTCCAGCCACGTTAGGGCACCAGGGTCACTCCCCTGCACTGGGTTAGCACTAGTAAGTTCTGCCTGATGCACAGTTGTGCCTGCAAGGATGCAGCTGTGCCAGTGAGCCTACTAGTGTGCGCAGGCTCAGGCATCTTTCCCACTGTTAATGAGCCCTGCTTGGGGCAGGTCTGGGGGTGCATGGTGAAACCCCCTGTCCCAGTCTACACTTAGTGCTTCCACTGGCCCTAGTGCAAGCCTGGCTGGTTTCCCAGGGATCCTGCTGCAGACAAGGCCTTGGAGGGCAACAGATCTCAGTCTTTGGAATTTCCTGAGGTGCTGGCCGACCTCCAGGACTTTAGGGCTGCCTCATGAGGACAGGGCCAGGATGCTCTACATCTCCAGAAGCTGCTTGTTCCTTCAGCGTGAACCCTCCCTGGGCAGCAGTGGCACTGGAATGCTGTGGTTTGAGTGGAGAGACTGAAACCTGCTATGATTGGTTTTGGTTAGAAATGAAGACGGGGGCAGAGTGCAGCATGGGAGAAGGACAGAGGAGGTCTAGGCAGATGATGGTGCAGTGACGGGGGAGACGTCTAGACAGAGATGGTACCATGGTGGGGGAGAGTGATGGGAGAGGTCTAGACAGTGCAGTGGCGGGGGAGACAGAGGAGAGTGATGGGAGAGGTATAGACAGACAGGGAGGTGGCTGGGGAGAGGAGCGGGGGAAGAGAAGCTGGGGTGAGGGAAGTACAGATGGAGACTGCAGGGACACAGCCTGGGGACGGAGAGGAGTGGCTGCCATTTACAGCTATATTGAGAGGACACATGGGTGCTTTTTTTTGCTGGTGGGGGACAGGGCTCATGCTTAGAGCATATCTGGAGGAGACTTCAATGGAGCAGAAGGCTGTCTGCTGTGCTCCCCTCTCCCCTTCCCACTCATTAAAAATGTTGCCTTGTGGGGCCCACCACAGGTGGGGGTGCTCCAGCCCGGCCTAAGCAGCCCCTGCCTGCCCCATTTAATTGGTTAATTGATTAACTGGGATTTTACATCCCTAATTCTAAGCAGCTGTGAGGGGAGCGCCAGGACAGGGCAGGCCTCGTTACTGGATTGGTTTGAATTCCAGTGTTGCTGAGGCTGTTTCCTCTTTGCGGAGCGTTGGGGCCTTCGTTCCTGGGGATGGATCGTGGTGTGCACAGCGGTAGCTTCGGTAAATAATTCAGGGAGGTGCTGCCTCAGAAAGCTCGGGGCTGGGCTGCTTTTCCATGGGAGGCGGGAAAGGAGCCAGGGGTTACTTGCAGCTCCATTTTACTAACTCCAGAAGCCTCGAGAGGTTTTACTTCCTTCAAGACCGTCCAGTAGCTCCAGGCAGTGCCGAGGGGGGAGAGATCCCCCTCAACGAGACTTTCAGGTTAACAGGACGTCTCTCTGACCTGCTGCTTATTACTGGGTGCAGCCCAGGCTGAGGGCCCAGGTTTTCTGCTCACACATGCATTGCCTGTGCATATATACAGGCTTAGGAGTGGCCAGTAGGTAGGGCAGGGGTGTGTGTGTGTGTGTGTGTGTGTGTGTGCGTGTGCGCGCCACCTTTAACCAGGTAACAAGTCATGCAGATGGGGGTCGGGGGAGGAATAGCTGTGATGTAGCCATGCTTTAGTAAGGCTTTCAATACTGGCAAGGCATTGCTGTTACAGCTTTCAGCCTGGGCTGCTCACAGCAGCCAGCATGCGGGTCACTCCCAGAGTGTCTGTGTACAGCTGTAGTCCTGGCCCAGCAGCTCTGAGCCCAGGAGCTGGTGGGGCAAAGGAGGCAGTTGCCTCGAGGGCCAGCCCCTTTTGCCCAAAGCCATGCCCCTTCCGAGAGTGCAGCGCCAGGCCTCCCTACCCTTGCCCAGTGGCTCATCAGTCCTGTAGGCCCCCTGTTGTCAGCAGCTGGCTGGCCAAATTCTCAGGTCAGGCTCTTCCCCCAAAGTCACAGGGCTGGTTCCTTTGCCTGAAGTGAGAGAGAAAGAGCTGGCGGCTTGCTGCCTCTTTTTCTACTCATCCGTTACCTTTGAAGTGGGTTCTTCTGACGGTCACCGCTCCAAGCAGTTTATTCAAATAGTAAAGAAGGCAACTCCAGTCCAGTGGCGAGCGAGGCTCCGTGTCCTTTCTGCTCACCCATTTGCTCCGAAGCAAATTTGTTTTGTCGCCTGCCATCGCTTTGCCCTGCTGTCTCGAAGACCCGGTTCGCTACTTCTATGTACATGGAGGGACGCGCATGTTTCTTCAGCCAGGAGACTTTTGCCTCTGTTTCCCCATCAGTCAAGCAATAACATTTCCCCCGCCCCACTGGCTTGAGGTGATGTGGAACCTGGGCCCTGCACATGGCTCACTCTGAAGGAGAATTCTGCCTCTGTTCTTGCTCCAAAGGGATGTGGCGTTCACCGGGTGGAGGGTGTGAAATCAGGCCCGTAAATCCCCAGGAAGCCCTTGGAATGAGTGAGCTGTTTGTCTTGCATGGTAGCTGCATACTCACCACTCCCTTCCGGATTGCTAGCAAGCAGGGGTGCGCAGCATAGAAGAGGCCAGAGGCTGAGGCAGCAATGGCCCTCCTCCATCTCCATGGGCCTCCAGATTGTCCTAACCAAGGTGGTTTTCTGGAATACCGTTGTTTTGCCAATTGTGCTTGCTGGGGAAGGCACAAACTTCCCAAACCGCCAGCCTGGCCCCACCCGTACTCCGCCCACTGAACGCCTGCTGTAGGCATACGGGGGGCAGAGTGTTGCTGCCCCCAAGCACCCGCTCTCCCCATGCTCCAAGGCCGGGGAGGCTGGAGCTGCATACCGCCTGCTCTCCCTGTGTGCCACCTGCTCTTCCCATGCTCAGGGGCAGGGAGGCTCGGCCCACATACTGCCCACCCTCCCTGTGCTCCAGGGTCGGGGAGGCTGGGTCTACCCACCACCCTATGGTGCTCCAGTGGGAGCGGGCCTTGGCTCCTGTGGGACAGGGCCTGGGGAAGAAAGGGCGGGGCTGAGGGCTTGTGCATGGTGTTTGCATGGCTAGAATTTGCAAGGGCTGCTGATTGAACTGGAGCAGCGTTTTGACTGGATGCAGCGGGAGTGCCCGGCTCTCAGCCAGTGCCATGAGCAATCAGCACACGCCTCACTTCATGTGCCCTGGCTTTAGGTGCGTGTCCCTTTGGTAATACGGGTAGGAAGCAACCTACACGGATGGAAACCAGCGGAATCTGGCAACGCTGCAGGTGGGCAACAGCCACAAAATGTCTCGTGGGCCTCACGTAGAAGCCCAATGGGCAGCATGCGGTTCATCGACTGCACGTTGCCCTCCGCTAGGTTAAGGTACTAGCCAAAGACCTGGGTCCACTATAGTCTTCCTCTGTGAGCTGGAAGAAGGGAAGTCGCTTGGCCTCCTGGGGCCTACACAGCGGTGAGGCTGGCCTGGCCAGGGAAGCGGGGAAGGTAGCTGCAGGACAAGTCTGCAAGGTGCTGGGGCTACGCAAGGGGGACCGGATGAGAATGGTAGATGGAAAATCAGGTCACTTGCTTAGGTGGCGGATCTTAGACCTGGCGTGGTGGCAGTTTGCATCGCTCCCTCGTGACGGAGATAAAAGGCAGCTGTGTGGCAGCTCTTTCCGGTTGCATTTGTGGCTCCAGGGACGTCCCAATGTTTATCTGTGTTTCTCTCCTCCCCTACCCCCTTTTTGCAGCATGAACGTACAAGGTGACTATGAACCTGCCGATGCTACTGGATTCATCAACATCAACTCCCTGAGGTTCGTATCGCCCCAGAGTGAACATCCCATTTCCAGGTGGGCCCAGCCTGCGGGGAGCTGCCGGAGTGGGCTTGGCAGCATACGAGGGACACCTGCAGACATGGGTTCATGGAGAGCTTCTCTCCCCATTCCCAGCCAGGAACCCTCCTGGGGAGGCAGGGGCTGAGGTCAGAGCTCAGCCACAGTTTCCCTGGCAATGGGAGAGGAGGTACACGGCTGGTTCCAGGAAAGTCTATGGTCACCCTCCGGGCATGAGCCCTGGCCAATCCTCCCCCAGTAGCTATCCCCCGAGAGCCCTAGAGCAGCCAGTTCCAAAGCCTTAGCCCTGTGTGAACTAGTCAGCTCTCTGAGTGCTGGAACGAAAACGCCGTTTTTCTCTTTCATCAGGTGCTGGAGAGAGAACAGCAGGACCCTGGAGTCCTGTGCCCCCTCCTCCTCACACTCCCCCTTCCTAGAGGCTGCCCCCGAGGTCTCCTGTTTTTGGGGTGCAGGGGTGCGTCTACATAGCAGCGTTATTTCAGAATAACGTCCGCTATTCTGAAATAACTATGTGAGCGTCGATGCAGCTAACCCATTATTTTGCAATCATTTCGAAATAACGGGCGGCTTAGCATTTGTAAACCTCATTGCACGAGGAATAATGCCTCTTCCAAAATAGCTATTTCAGAATAGCAGTAGTGTGGATGTGCCACTGCTGCTATTTCAAAATAGCTCCTCCCCCAGGCCAATCAAAGTAATTATTCCCCAGTGCTTCCCGGGGCTCTAAATCAAGGTAGCGTGTCCACATTACGGGAGCCTGCCCTGTGATGTAGACGCGCTATTTTGAAATAAGCTATTTCGGAGTATTTCTTCCAGACTAGCTTATTCCGAAATAATTGTTCAGTGCGTACGTAGCCCAGGAGGCCTGGCATGCATGGGGCTTTTGTACATCCTGAGGCCTTGTCTCTGGTGTGCTCACAGCCTTTGTACAAGTTGTCCCCGTGCAAACCCCTCCTGCAGGTACTGGTTACCTTGGCACAAGGCGTGGCTCTGCCCAGGCAAATCATGGTTTGCCCCAGTTTGTAACTGAGGTTAAACCCCGTTAGCTCAACTGTTGCACATTAGAGACGTTAAATATCGATTAATTGAGTAGTCGATTAACATCATGAATTCTTATCGGTTACTTGACTATTCTATAGTCCCTGGGAGTGGGGCTAGCAGCCAGTGTGCTCCCAGCGCAACTGTTGGGGAGCATCCTGCTACTCCACACTGCTGCCTCTGATACACAGGCAGCAGCATGGGGGGCCTGGCCGCCTGCCAGTCCAGAGGCAGAGCTGAGCTCCCAGGCCCCGGCACGAGCCGGAACTAAGCTGGGCTGCCTGCCCGCCTGGTCCTAATACACTTTAAATGCAGAGCTGCAGCGGGGGTAGGTCCAGCCTGCTAAAAAATTTACTGGCAACGGGCAGTAGTGGCCCGTCAATACAGGCGACCTAGGTGGTCGCCTAGGGCACCAAGATAAACAGCCGTTGAGGGCTTTGGAGGCAGGGGTGCCGATCGCGCATTTTGCCTAGGGCACCAGTTGCAAGCAGCTCGTCTAGGGCTGCTCCTGGCAATGGGTGGGAGGAGGGTGAGTGTAGTCTATGGCATTAACCGATAAGCTTTGGCATTAACCGATAAGCTTTTGCTTACTCGACTACACTGTTGCATCCCTAGTGCAAACCGTGGCCCGCCCTTGTCAACACACAAGGGTTAGCCCTGGGACTGGACCAATGGCTGCTGATTGGCCTAATCAGCAAACACCTCAGAGTCGGCTTCACACCCCTCTAGCCAGCTGGGCCTGGGGCTGTGTCTGCACTGCTGATGGAGGGGTGACTGCAGCTTAGGTGGCATCCCTGTGCTTGCTTCCCTTGAGCTAGCCCCAATTCAAATAGCAAGGGAGATGTGGCCATACCACATAGGGACGCGGGCTGCTAGCCAGGCTGAGGTCCGGGTCTAGTTACAGCAAAGCTAGCGCAGGTCAGCTGCCCCACGCTGCTGTCGCCCCTCCACTTGCCAAGCAGACATAAGCGCTGTCGCTGCCTGCTAGGGAGGAGTGAAGCGGTCCGACTGCAGCATAGACCTTCATTGCCAACCCCCCATCGAATGCTGACTGACCTAGTGTCCATGGAAGCTGGGCTGCCCTTTTAGGCTGTCCCAAGCGAGTAGGTGCGACCACGGGCAGCAAGAAACCCGCCCAATCATCACCCCTCCCCCCTGCTTCAGGGGTCACTCAAGTGCCTCCACCCAACCTGGACCACGTGGCCGGCACCAGCGATTTCAGAGCATCTCAGGAACAGAACCCTTGGCTAATTACAGCCTCCTAGAGAACCTCCAGTCTCTGTATTTTACTTATCTCCCAGGCCCTGTGAACTCCCCTGAATGCCGTGAAACACACCATATTTACATAATGGGCTCTTTCTTTTTCCACCGCCTGTTAACTGCTTTGTTCTCCACAATAATGCATGATGTTCTGCCCCCCCCCACCCGATCAATTAATTACACTAACAGACAGAGAAAAAAAATCAGACTGTACAAGCCTTAACAAACGCTTGCCCTGACACCCCCTCATTCTGCCAAAATTAATTGAATCGAAATGCGTGTTATTCCTGTTAATTTACAATTAATTTTTTTTAAATCTGGTTTACAGGCTAAAGGAATATCATCGTCTTCAGAGCAAGGTCGCTGCAAAGCAGAGTGAATAGCAATCAATAGCACACGGAGCTCTCACTCCCCTTTTTAATTTTTCCAAGCGCTAGCACTAATTGTGTTGGTAATTTATAATTGTAACTCGTCTCCCAGAGTCGATGTGGAGGTGATGGCTTTGTTACAGGCTTCCGCAGCAAGTGAAATGGAATAAATAAAAAGGGGTCAGCCAGGAGAGGAGGGAGAAAAGAAATTAAAACAACCCAGCTTTTTGTTTCTTTATGCCGAGTAGGGTTTTATTATTTTATTGTTGCTGTTTGTTCCTCCTGCACTTAGATGGCCAAACTGTTCCTCGAGCCAGTCTTTGTGAGGTTTGCAGTGGATTAAGTGCCTCTGAAGGACACATGTTTTTGTCCCAGTATGTACCTTTTTATTGGAGTGGGAAGGGGGAGAGGAAAATCTACCCAAACAATCCACTTACCTGCTTCTTCTCGGCTGAATGCTAAAAGGCCTCAGAAGATGGGGAAGCAAAACTACCATCCTTGCACTGTTTGGTTTTTAAGTCATTAAGGGGATTTCTTTGTTTCTCTTATCCTCTTAAGTGGCAAAGGGTCAGAATTGGGGTTTGTTTAATTAAAGAAAAAAGGCTTTTACTAAATCAGAGACCACGAGGAATGGTCTGTTCCTTAATAGAGGGATTTTTATTTAAATTCCACTTTAAAAAGGAGGTTTTCTCTTTTTGGGGAGAGGGGCCCATTCACATACAGTCGTACCTGTTTGGCAGCCTTGGCATGGCAGCCCTGTGCCAGCATGTCAACACCACGCCCTGGAAGGGCTGGGGCGAGTCAGAGGAAACTGACCCACCACCACCTGAAAGTGCAAGATCGAAATGAAGGCTCCCGAGTCAGGGAAAAGGACAGAAAGCCCAGAAAGCACTTCTCCTCAACCCCGCGAGAGCCTTCCCAGGCCCCTTTACGTGTGTCTTGAGGCTGGGGCAATTAAGGGCTGAATCAGCCCCAAACACAATTTCAAACAGCCCTGGGCCTGCTTTAACGTACTGGTTGGAACAGTCCCCTATCAATCATCCTGTCAGCCAGGGATGAGTGCATTGACTCCTGTGTGACTCAGTCTGTCTCTGCCTCCGTTCCCACCTGTGAAAAGGGGGTAACATTGGTCTGAGGTGAACCACGCGATCACCTGCAGGGTGCTCAGGTATTTACAGGCCTGGGGCTCAGAAGAACCATAGGCAGATCTGCACACATCAAACATATGTCAGGCCAGGCAACGTGCCTTCCTGCTCCCGGAGTGGGATTGCACAGTGATGCAGGGTAGGAGCTAGCCTGGTGGCAGCTGGTGTTTCTTCCTGCCCAATGCTCTTGGGTCAAAACTTGTTCAGTAAATGAGCCCAAAGCTGCCTTCTCCAGAAAGCCAGCCCAGCAGGGAGCTGACAACAGACCTGCATTCTCTCTGCCTCTTCATATCCAGCCTGGCAATAAGCAGCCGTCGTGCAAGTGGGATGTAGCTGGAAGTCAAATCGACTCCAGCTCCCTCTCCCGGAGCTGTGTGGGCTGGAGCAAAGCACCCGCTTGTGTCTATGAGAGCAGCTGGTAGGACTCAGCCATGCAGCAAGCGGAACAGTGGAGTGTAGACCTCACACGCTCTGGCTACGTCTAGACTGGCATGTTTTTCCGCAAATGCTTTTAATGGAAAAGTTTTTCCGTTAAAAGCATTTGCGGAAAAGAGCGTCTAGATTGGCATGGATGCTTTTCCACAAAAGCACTTTTTGCGGAAAAGCATCCGTGCCAATCTAGACACAGTTTTGCGCAAGAAAGCTCCGATCGCCATTTTCACCATCGGGGCTTTTTTGCACAAAACAATACTGCGTTGTCTACACTGGCCCTCTTGTGCAAAAGCATTTGCTCAAAACAGGGCTTTTTCCTGAACGGGAGCAGCATAGTATTTCCGCAAGAACACTCACAATCTTACATGAGATCGTCAGTGTTCTTGCGGAAATTCAGCTGCTTTTGCGGAAAAACTTGCCAGTCTAGACACAGCCTCTGTGTTTGGGGTTATGGGCTGCCTGCTAATCAGTGCTACAAAGCCCTTGGCCTACCCCGCTTTCCCCCCTGCGCGACAAGCCTCCTGCACTGCTGGGTGGCACTTCCCCTGCAGGCCCCAGCAGCTTCTGTCTGCTGAGAAAAGTCAGCCGAGGGCAGCTGTCAAACGGGTTGGGGTAGAGGGAGCAACGCTGTCATGACCCTGCTGGATGGCGCATGTACGGCAGACAGCGGCAGCTTGACATTAAAACTGCTCTGCTGTGTGTCGGGATCTACACTGCTAGCTGCTGATGGAGAGTCTCCTCTAACATAGGAATTGCCAAACGCGATCAGATCCAAGGTCCACTTGTCTATTGTCCAGTCTCTGACAGTGGCCAGGACCAGGTATTTCAGAGAAAGATGTGAGAACCCCATAGGAGCGGATGCTGGATAATCTGCTCCTATATTGGAGCTCAGCTTGGGCTCCCTGGTTAAAAACTGGCGTAAGTGCTGCTGCAGGAGGTTTACTATCCTGGCTGTGATTTTTCTCATTCATTCTGGCTATTCTTGGGCTCCATATAAATGTCCAGACCTGGGCTGACTCTTGCTAAATTCTCAGTGGCTGGGGAAGCGACTGTGTGTTTGGAGCAGGAGGAATTGGGCTCCAGCCTAACTCCCCAGGAAGTTGAGGGTGGCTGGGGCATAGTAAAGAGGTAGGTAGCAATGGAAGTGTTACACTACTGCTGGGCTCCACCCAGCTGGGCTGAGTGCACTTGGATTCAACTATTGTATACTGCCCTGCATACAGCTCTCCCTGCACCTCATCCCTACGCATGCCTGCGTCCCCCACAGCTGCCCCATGCCAGGAAAACAATTACCGGACTCCAGGAACACGGTCTCTCCAAAAGCCCTCCTGGGAGACCATGCCATCCCATCAGAGATCTCCCTGGCTCCCGTTCTCAGCTGCGCTACCGCCTGGGCCTGTCAATGTGGCTTGGTGCAAGAGCTTGAGCCTGCCAGGTGCTACACATGCTCCACTCCCTGGCCATGTCTACACTACAGAGAGTTTTTTGGCAAAACAGCCATTTTTCTGAAAAAACTTCACTTACATCCACACTGCAATCATGTTCTTTCGAGGAAAAAGGCTACGTCTAGACTGGCATGATTTTCCGGAAATGCTTTTAATGGAAAAGTTTTCCGTTAAAAGCATTTTTGGAACAGAGCGTCTAGATTGGTACGGACGCTTTTGCGCAAAAGCACTTTTTGCAGAAAAGCGTCCGTGGCCAATCTAGACGCGCTTTTGCGCAAAAAAGCCCCGATCGCCATTCTCGCG